TGTAGTGAGGACACCTGCTCTAAAGCCACCTATTACCCACCCCTCCTCTCCTTACAGGCTCTTCCCCAAACCCTGGCTAGGATGACTCCTGGACAAGACAAGATTTATGGGACAAGGCAGCAGTTGATCTGGGGGCTGTTAGCTCTGACAGAATTGAATCTAAACGCCAGGTCTCCTGACCCCTTCTGACCAATGACCTTGGAGAAGCCACTTAACTTCTCTGAGCCTGGATTCCTCATCTGTAGGATGTGGATATAAAGATATTTAATATGAGGCGGCGTGGTGGCTCACGCTTGTAATCCTAGCACTCTGGGAGGCTGAGGCAGGAGGATTGCTTGAGCTCAGGAGTTTGAAACTAGCCTGAGCAAGAGCAAGGACCCCATCTCTACTATAAATAGAAAAAATTAGCCCAAACAACAAAATAGAAAAAATTAGCTGGGCACAGTGGCGTGTGCCTGGTAGTTCCCAGCTATCCAGGGAGGCTGAGGCAGGAGGATCGCTTGAGCCACGAGAGTTTGAGGTTGCTGTGAGCTAGGCTTACGCCATGGCACTCTAGCCTAGGCAAGAGAGTGAGAATGTCTCAAAAAAAAAAAAAAAAAAATATATGTATATATATATAGGCTGGGCGCGGTGGCTCACGCCTGTAATCCAGCTCTTGGGGCCAGGTGTGGATTGTCGAGGTTAGGAGTTCAAAACCGCCGAGCAAGAGCGAGACCCCGTCTCTACTATAAATAGAAAGAACTAATTGGCCAACTAATATATATAAAAAATTAGCCGGGCATGGTGGCTCATGCCTGTAGTCCAGCTTACTCAGGAGGCTGAGGCAGCAGGATTGCTTGAGCCCAGGAGTTTGAGCGTTGCTGCTGAGTAGCTGACGCCATGCGCACAAAGAGCATAAGTTGCATTTTCAGCCACTCAGTTGTAAGAGACCCGGGGATGGGGCACATGAGTGAGGCAGAGAATGAGCAAATGAGTAACCAGTAACTCTACTCCCTTGCTCCAGCATGGGGACAGCAGGGATGGTCTGGGTGCCACTGATCCAAGCTGGCTGGCTCAAGGCTGGGAGGCCCTGCCATGCCTGGGGAATTTTATAGGGTTGGGTCAAGGCAGCCCTAGCTGGTGAGAGCTGGGGACACTGGCAGGGTGGCTGATTATAGGTTGTGGCCAGAGCAGCCCCTGAATGCCCCCATGCACCCCTGCCCACCACAGGCTTCCAGGATGTGCATGTCATGATCTTCGTGGGCTTCGGCTTCCTCATGGCCTTCCTACAACGATATGGCTTCAGCAGCGTGGGCTTCACCTTCTTCCTGGCCGCCTTTGCCCTGCAGTGGTCCACACTGGTTCAGGGCTTTCTCCATGCCTTCCATGGTGGCCACATCCATGTTGGTGTGGAGAGGTGGGTGGCAGCAGCCTCCCTGGTTCCCCCAGGCCCACTTGGGAGGCCCCCAAAAGTCTGCATCCTGAGCCATGTTTTTGACTCACTCATTGATTTCTCTAGGTACCCTGCCTGTTCCCATTGGCTGATTTCTCCCATCCTTCACCCACACACTCAGCCCCACCCTTTTATCCTTTAGGGCCCCTGTTACCCAAGAGCTATGAGGCTAGATAGCCTAATGGGAAGGGCAATGTTTCCAGGAGCTCTTGGCTCAAGTTCTGGTTCTTCCACCTACTATGGGCTTTGTCAGTCAAGTCACAGAACCTCCCTGAGACTTGGTTTCCTAATCTGCAAAAGGGCCAGGTGATCCCTTCCGACTCCCAGGGCAGAGCCTGGAGCTCCTTGCCTCCTCTCCAGATCTCCCTCCCCCTCCCCTGCTCGTGCTGCCCCCAATTCATGCCTGGCAGAAGCCCAGAAGCCACCCTTCCCCCCTCCCTGCCCCATCCCCCAGCATGATCAACGCTGACTTCTGTGCTGGGGCCGTGCTCATCTCCTTTGGTGCCATCCTGGGCAAGACTGGGCCCGCACAGCTGCTGCTCATGGCCCTGCTGGAGGTGGTGCTGTTCGGCGTCAACGAGTTTGTGCTTCTCAGTCTCCTGGGGGTAAGAGTCTGGGCAGGGCTGAGTGTGGGGTGGTCAGTGCCAGTCCCAGGGCTGCTGTCCAGCTCCGTTCCACCCCACAGGTGCGGGATGCAGGCGGCTCCATGACTATCCACACATTTGGTGCCTACTTCGGGCTGGTCCTCTCTCGGGTCCTCTACAGGCCCCGGCTGGAGAAGAGCAAGCACCGCCAGGGCTCTGTCTACCACTCAGACCTCTTCGCCATGATCGGTAAGGCCTGCTGAGGTGGGGTAGCGTGGGGGCTGGATCTAGATTCCTCTGAGGCCTCGGGGTTCTGGCTGGGCACTCCCTTCCCACTGGATTCTGCTGTGAGAGCCTGGGATCCATGCTCCTCAGTCCCAACCCTTTCAAGACAGGCTCTTAGAACTCAGCCCTGGGGTACACGCATGTCCCACATTCATTCCCAGAGGCCTTTCTAAATCCACTTCAATCTAGGTTTAAAACCTTCCCCAGCACCCATCACCCACATGATAGAAACCAGCCTCCTCTTGCCTAGCACACTGGCTTGAGCAGGTCTTGGCCGCCCTCCCTCTCCTCCTCACCCACCGTCCCCTCACTCTGGGCTCCAGCCAGACCCAGCTTCTGCCCACCCCTTGCCTCCAGGCTTTTGCATGTTTGGTTCCCAGCAAACAGATGACCTCTGCCTGCCTTTCACCTCCTGAGGACACTTCCTCCCAGGCAATTCCCCAGGAAGCCCCTGCACTCTCAGGCACGGGCGTTGGGGTGTGGGTCTTGGGTCACTTTGCAAAGCAGTAGGGGCCAGGTGCGGTGGCTCACGCCTGTAATCCTAGCACGGTTGTGGTGGGTGGGGGTTGGGGAAATGGCCGTCCCCTAGGTCCCCCTCCCTTCTCCTTGCTCTCATGTTAATATATATATATAGACTATATATATATAGATATAAGTATATATTTTTTTTTTTTTTTTTTGAGACAGAGTCTCGCTTTGTTGCCTAGGCTAGAGTGAGTGCCATGGCGTCAGCCTAGCTCACAGCAACCTCAAACTCCTGGGCTCAAGCAATCCTGCTGCTCAGCCTCCCTGAGTAGCTGGGACTACAGGCATGAGCCACCATGCCCGGCTAATTTTTTCTATATATTAGATAGGCCAATTAG